AGTGGTAGTAGTAGTGGTAGTAGTAGTGGTGGTGGTGGTGGTGCTAGGAGTAGTAGCAGAAGTAGAAGTAGTGGCAGTAGTAGTGGCATGAAAGTGGCCAGGTGGTTTCTGAGGGGATACAGACCTATGAAGTGGGTATCGCTTGGTATCGTGCTTGGTATCGGTCTAAACCCATATTTGCTTCTCATCGAAGAAAGAAAAAGGACAATGAGCAAAAACAAAATGGAATGTCCAACTAGCATGGCGAACCATATGCAAAAACCTTGGACATACACTGTCTCGAGTGTCAACAGTGTCAATAGGCAAAGATAGATTCCAAGATGTGTACCGTCATAAGGTTAGGTATCGTTTTTGGGATTTTTTTTTTTTTTTTCAAGGAAAATGTAAACTGTTCATTTTTGAAGAAACGTGAGCGCCGACCTTTAGCACTTTGCACAGGTGCTCCGGCCATGAAACGTTCGCCTGGGCAGTGAGTTTTTGGTCAGGTGGACCCTCTTGCGATTGAGACCGATTGCGCTGATGTGTTGGGGCAGGAGCTTTTATTGGGAAAGCTGCCAATGTTTTTCAACACAAAAAACACTGACTAGTGAACACACTCACACAGGATAGCAGCCAACATGCCCAGGTTATTGTTTTTTTCAGACAATCAATCTCACATGCAACACCTTTATTCCTGTCTGTCTGCAGGATGGACCTACGTCTGATTCTCCCAAGGCTCCTACTGCGTGTGGTCTATTCAATGAGGAGTCTGTGGATTTGTGTGATGGTTCGAATCCTGACACAGTGCTTTACTAAGCAAAACGATAAACCTTTTGGTGACAATGGCTGCTCATATAGTAAGTACCTGTCATAAAATGCCTAATAGCTTATAACTTGTCTTCAAGCGATTTTCGTCCTACGGACAACAGTGTTTCTTGCATATTGTTTGGGCATGTTTGGGCGCTCTGATGTGTTCTGTAGATATCGCCGGTTTGGTTGGGAATTGTTTGGAGGCCGTGTCGTGTCCATTTTTGAATTAGGATCCAACGAAGAGAGCTATGGTGACTATCGAAGACTCGCCACTATCCAAGAGGCCTGTGTAGACAAAACCACTGTGACTGGACCAGAACTTTACTGCCATGTTAAAGGATGACCCTTCGTTGTGGATGTTCCGTTTGAAGGATCTCGCGACAAGCTACACCAATGGCTGGGATGATCCAAACACCAGAGACAGAAGACCCCAAAATCAGAAAGGCATCCCTGTCCCGCAAGGCTTTGGCATAGGCCTGAGTTCTTCAAAGTGTTACCTGGCTACAGCTCTTAGTGTATCATGAATGCATGGGCGTGTGCTTGTACAAACCCAAAGTATTAAGTTAAAGAATTTGCTTCCATTTGATATCACGTCCTGCCCCCAACCCCTCCCAAGACAATGCTCTTACAGCCTGTCAAGACTCTTATGCTCTTACAGCCCATTATTCACAAGTAATTATTATTCCAAGTGTTGACAGCAGTCAAACATGAATGGTAAGATTGCTTTCATTGACGTTTTAACATCAATCTATGTATATAACCTATATGTTTTCTTTAAACACACTTAAAACAAGTTGCTACATTAATTACCTTTGTTCAGTTACAATTGATCTTGATTGCTTTTGTTTTGTGACTCCAGCTAAACATGTTGAACATCCAGGACTCCAAAACATGACAGGATCAATGAGCCTCCCCAGGGGAAGGAACTAACCCGTGTTCGTCACTGAGTTTTCATCCAAAACAAAGCACCGTCGCAACGATGGATTCATATCCCTTTTTGTGTCCCCAGAAGGCCCAGCAAGGCCTCCATCTCGTGGACGACCCAGGTTTGCCTTGGATTTGGCTTGAATAATCACGAGCTAATCCACATCTTACATACCATCTGAAGCCAATGCTGTGTATATACATTTCTGTTAAATTCTCCTTCTAAAGTAAAACTAGATCAAAATGAAAAACAATTGGTTGGGGGTCTCTCCGTATTTTTCTACAAACCCAAAGACCCTCCAAACCCAAACATTCCACCACTCGCGATATGGAGGTATGCGGCATGCAACTCTACTGGGAGATGATGATGCTGGTATGATATTTAAAAAAACATAGCATGTATTACTACAGTATAATGGCATCATGACAGTCCAATAGAGTATTATATAATATATATATATGTAAAATTATACATATATTTGTATGGTAGTTCCGCTTCCAAACACACATATCCATGATGAGCGCTTGAAGCCGCGAATGAAAAAACACACTGTTACTTCTTGGCACTGGCCAAGAACAAGGCACATTTTTTTTTGGAAGCGGAACTACAATACGAATATGTATATATATATAATATTACTCAATTAGACTGTCATGATGACATTAATACTGTAGTAATACATTTTTTCAATATGGCTCAAGCAGCAATGAAAGCTCATTGGTTGTTCCTGACCAAGCACCATGTCTTGACAGTTTTTGGGTCGGCTCATGACAGTGGCTCAAGGATCAACTCACAGAAAGCAAACACGGAAAGCATGGGCTTGCACAGGTACGTACTCGCCACTCATGCGCTCGCTCGGGCGCTGCAATGTCTCTCGTGGCGCCCATGGCACGCCAAGAGCCGTTGACCAAACATCAAGCTGAGGTCGACCTAGCTGGTCACCCATCGGTCAATTTTGAACGGGTATTCTCGGGGAGAATTCTTCCACTCAAGCTGGTCCATCATGGGGTTTATCAAACTTTTCACTAAAGCGTGGATCTACCATCAGGCTGAACCAGCCTGTTGCCTTAGGTGCGTTTCTGTTCTCTTCCCGGAAGTCCGGTTCAACCCAACTAGTTTGCCGTTCTGTCAGGTTGAAATTGGACCACTGGGACCCGACACACGAAACTCCAACTGCCCAAGGTCCCAGTGGTGAACACCGAACTGAGGCGAATTCATGGTCTGCTGTGTCTGCTGTGTCTGCTGTCTGTATTTCCAGTCACCTCTTCTTCAATGAGTACATGCTTGCAAAATGTTTGGGAAAACCACACATAGGCAACTGGCACTGGCACCTTATGGCATCTTGAACTGCGAGAAAAGGTATGGCACAATAAACATGGTTAACTATGCATGATGGAACCATCAAAGACAAATCATGTGGCAAATATATGCATGCAAACTCACCATGGCAAATGTCTTTGCTCGCTCACAAATTCTCCCACGAGTTAGCTGGTTCTCAGTTCTCTTCCACAGTAAGGCATCTTCTGGCAAACCCCACTGGTTCCATCACAAGCTTCGAAGGCTTCGAACAAAGCGCTGGTTCCACAGCTGGTTCATCTCGTCGACTGCGCTGCGAACGTCCCTGTTTTCGTGCTCTCCGCGGCTCGGTCTGACCGGTCGGGCTCCTGCAGCGCCGGTCGCGCGTCCGGTCGAGCGCGCTGATTCCCGGTGGCCGTGACGTGTGCGGAGCGGCCACCGCATGATCAAGGCTGTGCAGGTGGACTGAACGGACTGGGAAAAGAACGGACTCCCTGGGTGGGAAGTGATCAAGCTTGACTGTAAGTGCCATTAGTCTTTTTTGGGGGGTGGCTCCCAACTGCCAAGCTGAACGCCTGAGTGCCCATTGCAGCCCATTGCATAGGATAGGCTGGTGCAAGCACGCACACACAACAAAACACGCCTTAGCGTCGAGGGCTGAAGAAGCACCAAGCACCATATGCAAAGACCAAGACCTTGGTGCAACACTTCAGCCGAGAGCAACATGTCCACATTTTGGATATGAAACTCTTGAAAAAGGGGATGATAGAAATCGTGAAATGTCTACAGCTGCCTCTTCAAAACAAAGTAGAACACCAAATCGACGGAGATTGATTTGCCCTATGTAGATGTTGACATTTGAGGACGTTTTTGTGTCCGTTCTTTTAATGTTGGGCTGTTGACTATACACACCTGGAGGGCTACAGGCGCTGTAACGCATGTGTCGCTCTAGCGTGACCATCAAACGTGTTCTCATCATCTCCGACAAGAATGATCTTCAGGATCGTCTGACCGCTGTGGACAAGAATTTTATAGTACAAACATGTTGCCATTCCCTCAGGCTCCTCGCCCACATCCTCAGAAGGTAGTTACTACCCTCCTGGCACCCACCCCAACCACTGAACCGAAACAGGAGGTAGCCCATAGGGATTTGCCATGTTTGGACCAAGGAAAACTCCCTTCCCTGTCTTGCTGGCTTGCTGTGTGACCTCACCAGGTCAGTCTCATCGGAAATGCATAGAATGTGGTACAAAACACAAAGAACCACATGTATGTTACATGCTGATACCATCTGCGTTCGATAAAATACTTTCTTCAACCCTCATCTATTCCTATAGATTTCTACGACTCCTATGCTTTTCCTCTTTCTTCGCCGGTCACCCACCGGTCACCCTTTCTCTGAGGTCGCCACAGACACTCCCAGGCGGTGGTCGCCATCCGGAGGGATGTCTCCCTCGGATGCGAAGTCGAGTCGACTCCTGGAGTCTACTCCGTCGACTCCCGGGGTGAGACGTGCCAATTTTGGTACTTGGCAGGGTCCAGGTACTACAAGGTGCTTAGTACGGAGCCGGGTGATAGTCTATATACTATATATACAGTATATACTGATACCCATGGAAGTGGAAAATTGGCCAGACACCGACCCTGTTGCTCTACGACCAGGTGGGTGAACTCTTTTCCACCTCCCAAAGAGTAGACTCTCGAATCACTGTTCCATGTTCGTCAGGATGTAAAACCATTCTGGAGACCAACTGTGTTTGATTCATCAACAGTCAGCAGTCTATATAGTAAATTGCACTTAGACACCCCCAACAATCAACAGTCCATCCGAGTCTATATATAATAAATTACCATCAAACACCGCCAACACGTGATGATGGGTTGAAGTGTGTCTTCTTGGAGCTCTTTCTGGGTCTCTATGACCTTCTATGACCGTGGGTCGAAACTGTTTCTTCGCGGACGTCCTTCGAGTCCGACCGGAGATCGGATCCCGTCCGACCTCCTCTCGGTCGAGTCAGTCCGAAGGCCGACCAAAGGGCCGGAACCGTCCGATGGCCGAAGTGGATGGATGAGACTCGCGGGACGAAGGTCACGAGGTTTCGCCAGAGGTTTCGCAGAGGTTTCGACTGGTGGTCAGAGATAGCCAGAGAAACGACGCCTCAGGGCAAGTTCGTGCACGTGTAAATCTCTACTTGTATATCGGCTTTTTTGACCAGTCCAGGCCCTGTCTATTCAATTGAACCTACAAATCCTGGTGTAGTTGTGCCATCCAGTGCATGGTACATATCGCAAATGAATGTTAGTTTTATTTGGGGTGAAACGAGGTTTGCTTGTCCGACAATGATGTTCCTTACTTGCAGCGCCCCACCTGAGGTGTGCGGACCTAATTACTCGTGCAAAGTGATACTGCGCTGCCCATCAAACACTGGGTTCCGGACCAAACCAAACCGAAATGCAATCTTTGGACAAACATGGGAGCAAGGTTTGGAGCATATGTCAACTCTAAGAGACTCTAAGTCGAAGAGAAAAAGGTCTCTGAGAATGCGTCTCACTAGAAACACGGCCATGGCACCAAAATGGTGGACCCCAGGGCTATGTCTCCGAAGTCACTAACATCTACGAACATGTAAAGGTAAGGATGGCCTGGGTGTCCCTTCCAGCAAAATCCACCAATACAAGGCTACTGGAACAACCATCGAACAAGCACATCTCGGGAACTGCACTGTCCAACAATTCTGAAGCACGTACCTGTCAAACCAACTCTAATGCGACCCGTGGAAAACGATGAAAACATGAAAACATGTATGTGTTTCCTTTCTGGCGCCACTGGTTTGTTTATTGTTTTTAATCATATGATAAACCTCAAGTTTGGGAAGAACCAAATCAAATGCTAGGTGCATAAATTAGTCGTGCCTTAAGTGCATCTGAAAAGCCCTTGGAACCGCCCTCCTCATTGACTTCAATATAGTTCCCAGTTCTTATTCCCCATCTTCTAAAGTGGCCTAGGGGCAAGAAACTGACCAGCACCAAAGCTTCCCAGAATGGCGCCTCACGGACCCAGCAGACTGGGTGCAGTCTGCAGCTGGGAGGAAAAACAACAAGTTGCCGTAAGTGTTCATTGCTATTGTAACTATTTGTAATATACATAATATCTAAATGATGTAGATGATAGTAGATGTTTTACAAGAATCGTCTGATATATTTTCTTCGACATAAACCGTCGAAAAGCCAACCGGACAAGATCACCACCAGGATCCTGAGACAGAGAAAAAAACACAATGAAAACAAAATACAAAACTGGGGTCCTTTGTCCAATGGATCCATAGACTCTTTAAAATGGTTGGAAACTGTATATTTCAGGTCGCCATTTGCGGGAAATCCCCGCCGCCCTTCGTAGATTCCTCCGGACCTGGGACCGCTGCGGCTTCTCAAGCTGCTTTATCCTATTGAAGCTGCCAAATAGAAGACGACTCAATCTATGGAGGCTGCATAGTGGCCCTAAAGCACGCTCCACATGACCGGTGTCAACCCTCGAAGCTATCCTCTTGTCGCTACCAAACGTGAGGGTCTCGCCTTCGTTGAGGGGGTCAAGCTGTTGTTTCTTCGTGGAAGGGCATCTGAGGCTGTGGCCCAGACGTTGCACGCAGCTTGCAAGACACGTATCCAACACTCGTGCATATTCTCCATGCAATGTGCTATGTCTCTCATATCCACATATCGAAGCTGAGAGATAAATCAATAACAATCAGATAACACATCCTTTCCATCATCTGACCAGGTCTCTCCTTACCGGCTTGCGCCTGCCGCCAAAGGAAAGGCCACATTCTGGGGATCCACCACATGGCCCAGTTGCCAGTGACGCCAGGCGGCGGCAATGCCTCGAAGACTGCCAAGACTGGGGTCGGAACTGTCTTGAATCATCAATAGGAACGTTTAAACTTTAAAAAACTATCTTGTCAAACTATATGCCCCGGTTGTTGTGGGTAGACTGGTCGGACTTCCTGGTTTTCGCACCGGTCTCCCAAAAAAGGGCGTCGTTGCAAGGTGTCGGTCTCCTCGTTGAGCTGGAAGATCCTGCTTACTACTGCGTGGCACTTGTTCCTAATAGCTTCTTGTTACTACTAG